TTTGACAACCAAGCGCTCTCCCTCCATGAGAGCAAGAGATCAATGACTTTCACGGAAGTCCCGCCTCTACGGTACCATGGCGCTGCCATGCCCATGGCCCTACTATCCGTCGCCTCGTATCTGCATCCCTTTTCTTCACGATCAGTAGATATGTCTCCATGGCACTCCTCTGAGTCCACCTCCATTCTAACTGATGCTTGATTTTGGGTAGCTAAGTCCCTTGGACTCGTCGTCGCTTCCTCGCCCCTTTCGACCCCTTGCTTCAACACCTTTGTGTTCTCCAAGTAGTCTGTTTGGTCGATGGAAAGACAGACTGCAACTCCCATGCATGGCCTCTGCCATCACGTTGTAGGGTTTGCACCGATTTTGTTCTCCTTAGCTTCCTTGGTAGCAACGTTCGCTTACTTGGCCTTGTCCTCTGACTTGCCGGGCTCCCTTAAGCGAATATGAGCTCTAGAGCAGTCCAACTCTCCAGCTGCTTCGATCATACCTCTGCATAATCAAGTCCCTCCCATGGAACTCACTAGTACTTGCATTCGAACTTTTCCCTTGGTGGAACCTAGCCCCCATATGCTGATGACCAAGGTTTTCATCCGATGCAAAATTCGATGCACGGCCGGAAGACCCGCCTCTACGGTACCATGGCCTTCACTCCTTGAATCCATAGCCCTTCTTGCCGTCATGTTGTTCACCGAAGTGGAGCTTCCAATAGCTCTCGATCATACCTCCATATGATCTAGTCCCTCCCGGGATAATGCCGTGTGTATCGCATTGCCATGAACTGTTCCACCACGATCCGCTGCACCATGTCACCTCCTGGTGACATCTCCATTGCATTCTGATCCTTGTGGAATAAACTCGAATTGTGAACCCTCCATGTGTGGCCTTTGCCAATACATCGCAGGGTCTCTTCCACCTTCGATTTTGTTCGCTCCTTTGGCAATCGACCTTCATCCACCCACTCTTGGGTCACACCTAGATGAAGCACCGCTCTAGGACAATCCGTCGCCTAGTAGCTCCCGAAGTCCACCGACTTCACTATAATTTGTGCACCATTGTCTGGATCCTGGGCCTCTACCCCTACCAGCACAATCTCCGCTACGCACCGCTTCCTTCATAGCAATTTGAATGGCAACACTATGACATATTCTTCAAGAGTACCCGCCTCTACGTCCTCTTGCCCCGTGCTAAGGCCTTCTAAACCCAACTTCATCTCCGTAAATTGAGTCGCCTTAGTTCCTCCATCAAATGCTTTTCCGAGATAAGGTGTATGTGCCCAGAAGCTCCCTTCATCTTTAGCACCATCCAAGATGAGTCCTCTCTGATAGAATGAATGACCCATGGAATAACATGATCCTACTCTTGCCTCTGCAAGAGTTCATGTCCTTGACCTCTGTCTAAGGAAAGCATTGTGCCTCTGCTCCATGTTCCAACTTCTATGCTGGCTCCCTTCATGCGGCTTGGGTACTTCGCCAAGTTACACCCAAGTTGCTCCGCTCCTCGTTTTTGCATTGAGTCGATGGTGGCCCTCGCGCCCACCATTCCACGGGTCAGCCCTCCCTTGAGTCCGATCTCCACATCGACTCTAAGTGTGCCTACATTTAAGTTGCTTTAGGTCGCTCCCCCACTTGATCTCGTAATGCATCAACCAATGCATTCTCTCAAGCGAGATCATGCGACGACTCCTCGCCGCCTGCTCAGTCCATCGAGCTTTGTGGAGTTGTTGTTTGTTGAGGTACTCCTCCTCAACATGTGAGGTCCGTCTCACATGATTCTCCCTCTGGAGAACCGGGACTTATCCCTCCTGGATAACTGTCCCATTTGGAGCAACATCTCTCTTCGTTTCGGAGACCACCATCCCCTTGGACTATTCCGACCTGCTGAACAAACTGTGCATTGTTCTGCCTCCTGCAAATGCACTTGCTAGATTGCGACTCCCCGTCAATACAGTCCCCGCTACACCCCTCAAGGCCTAACAACGTGCTGAACTCGTTGCACACTTTAGCCTCCTACGGACGTATCCTTCACATGCCGAAGAGAAAGTTTCAATGCTCCATGTCGCCGAGTTTCGGTCGCCTTGGGATGGCCATGAACATTCCATCGTCCGTATACAAGCCCATGCATGAGTACCAAATTCTTCGAGTTAGCAATTCCCCTTACCTCTGTGAGCTTTGCAGAACTCCTTTGATCGTTGAGCAACTCATTCCACCTTGCATGGTCTCATCCTTTACCAAGCGCCTCGCTTGCCTTGAGCACCATCAAGTATAGTTGCCAACGTTGAGCTATAGCTCAAACTCAGCCATCCCAACCTTTGTGCGCTCCAAATTCTTCCAAGCTTGCCTGTTCTCGTGGTGCCTCTTGCGCGAAGGGTTGGCCATTCCTCTGAATGCCAATGTCAGATGCCCGCTCTTCCGAGCGACTCCTTTTCCCTACATCTCCATGCCCGTTTTCCCCCAAACGGTCGCGCGTGTGCTGACTGCCCTCAATGCAGCCCCGCTAGGTCCCCCACGTTTGCATGCTAAGTGTTTCTATGAGTGCTTGTCCCGCTCTGATACCATCTATCACGAACTTAGCTGGTTTTGCCTAAGTCGTGCGGCACCCTTGTGTGTCCGTCCGCAAAGGTCAGCCTCCCCGAAGTCTCCCATTTGTCCCTTAGGACCAACAAAAGAGAGAACGAGCTAGAGAAAACGCCTCAATCGGGATCCACAATCAAACATCTCCGAAAAACACTTCATAGACAATGCAAATTACAAACAGACTTTACAAGCTCTGATCAGTGGCACAACAAAGGGTAAAATGGTCCATCATAGACCAAAAATCTCTCGCATATGTCCACATGACACAACCTTTATTTACAAGCCGAAAGAGGCCACCAACCCAACTAAAATGGGACTATTAAGCCTTCGGCTGCCCCTCTACATGCTGTACAAGGCATGAACATGCCAAAAGACACGGACATATATGAGCATTACATCAAACATCTTGTTTAGAAGTTTGTCCGTGACAATGTGGCAAATTCACGGATTTACATGTGGAAGATCGAAATAAGAAAGGAAACCTTTTTTCATTTATTATAAATTGGTAGTTAATATTGAACTTGTTTTCATTTGTCAATTTAATTCCATGATCTCCCTTCTCCTATCCTCCTGTAAAATAAAAATGCATTATATGAACTTATTTTAATCATGTCTATAAACCCTTGTTTTAAAGGAGACATAAGAACAATAAAAAAAAGAAGTTTCTCTCCTTGCAAACCGTTCATATCATAAAAGTCATTGTTATCGTTGACAAGACACTGAGAAAAATGGTTGCATCTCGATCATCTGAAGAAACATGGCAACCATATTTGATCTAAACTTGCACGACAAGTACATCCTATTGTTATTCTCATAGCATACTCGAGCAACATTATGAGTAGCTGCACGCAAAATACTCGTAGCAAGTGCTCATTATGCTAATGACTCTTGTTGAAAGACCATGCTTTAAGTTTGATAGTGAGAATAATGTGAGCCATAAATCCTTTGGTTTGATTTCTTGATTACACGTATTATTCTTGAACGGTTTGATCATCAAGTTTGCAAAATCAATTTCTGAAATGTACAGGCAACAAAATATAGTGACTAAAATTTGCCATGTCCCATACAAGAAACCCAAGACAAGGAGAAAAGCCAAAAAGCCCAAAAAAATATGCACCATGAACATAGACATTATAATTTGGAGAGATTTCTTAAATAGAAAAGGATCTTTGAAAATTAAATATTGATTCCCATATAAATACCTTATGTATCACAAAGTTTTGACATAAGAGTGAAAGAAAAATACTTTTAGGTGCTCCTAAATTTTTTCTTTAATAGATTTAGAGAGATTTTAAATGAGAAATTATATAAGAGACACTATTTTTGATAGAAGATGATGATCATGATAAGATTTAAATAAGAAAATCTCTCCTAATTGACTGATCATCCATAAAAGAGAAAATATCTCCCTCTAATTCTGTATAAAGACTGTTCACTTTTATGAATTTTCAACCATTTTAATTTATCAGTTTTGACTTAAAAGATAAGTCAAGAGGAATTTCTTATCTTTTATTATTCTCAAACAATGAGAAACTTGAGTTTATCTCCATAATTATAAACAAAGGGAATGGAACTGCATATATCTATCTATCTTCTGTTCATTATTTCTAAATATTTGTTTTATTTTTTATTCTCTGTACTATTCCTTTGACATCAGTCTATTTTCTCCATACTCATTATGGTGCTGGCACTCATGGAAGTTTAATACATTTTTAATGAAATCAAGTTTATTTTTCATTATCCCTTCTTAAAATTAATTTTTATAAAAAAAATATATAACCACTATAGCCACAATGTGGAAAATAAAGATGCCAATGGTGGAATGTCCATATGAAAATTCACAATGTGGAGTTGTAAACATCCTTATACAATATCAGAAGAATTCCAATCCAATCCAATGGAGATGTTTGGTGAGAGGACATCAATATGATAATGATATCTCATTCATCCTTTTTTTTTTAGGTTTCCCCCTACAGGTATTGTCACAACTAAAGGCTTTTATCCAATGATATGTGGTGCAACTTGTTTGGCCTATGCAATTGAGAAACAAATACATATAGGTTATAGAGAAGGCAGGAATGAGTGAATGGGCCTCAAGAATTAAAATTTGTGATATATAAAAGAAAAAACCGAAGAGAAGATGAATTAAAAGATAGAAATAAGCTGTGCATGATGCTTTTGTTGGAGAATTTGTATATATTATATACATTTAACATTATTTTTTTTTAATAGAAACTCATAATTTTTGTTATACTATTAATTCCATACTATTAAGTACAAGGAAGCTTCAAATGTTGTTTCTTATTCCTCTTATATAAGGTTCTAAAAGGTTATCGTTTTAAAGTCTTATTCTTATACCTTTGTTCATCTTAATTGTACTTCTTAAGATTCAACAGAAATTATGTAATGGGGACTCAGAAATATGCCATAATCATTAGTTCTAAACATGTCTATTTATCCAAGCTTAACAAGAAATAATAAAGCTAAAAGCCTCTCCATGCGAATTATTCATGAAAGGTGAAAAGCACCCTTGTTTATTCTCAAGAAGGAATACACTGAGAGGCATTGCCGAGATCCGAGAAATGTTTTGATCCTCCTAGAGCGAAATGGAATGGTCACCTTATTTGTGATCCACCTGCATTACAATTTAATAATATTAATTGTCGTAATCTCCATAGCATACTCGAGCCATATTGTAAGGAACTTCAATAATAATAATAATAAAAGACTTTGATTTCGGTATATCACCTCATGGGACCTAAGAATCCTTCGGCTTGATTTCATACTTGCAAATCTTGTGCTTGATACATTTGATCATCATATTGGCAGAATCAATCCCTGAGCAGTTGTTCAATCATCAAACTGTTGATGTTGGAATCTACGATATGTATTAGATGAAAGAACCAATACAAACCTGCAAGATATGCACCATGGACGTAACCATTGTAGTGCTCGCTTGTGTGTTCACCAGTGAAATAAACCTTTCCAATTGGTGCCTTCACAACATATTTTTTCGCATTACTCATTGCAATCACTGATATCTACTTATGAGAATGATATGTGACATGTAAATTACCCTGATCTGATCATACTCATAACGGTTGACACCAAGTGGCCAATTGGAGAAGGCGCCCTTGAAGAACCTATCAGACCACCACCTGGGAACAAGTATATCTGTGGCCTCGGGAATATGTTTCCCGAACATGTTCCTCAAGACCTCCATAGCTTCTGCCTTGGTTTGGGAGTCTGGCTGCTGCTCTATCCTCCTTGATTCCTCATCTGTTACCGTGACCAGTAGAACATTGGCTCCTGGGTATTGCTTCTCGAATTGCTGCAGCATGCAAACATGATTCATGCATGGTGAGGCTAATATATATCTACACTAGCTTCGCTAGATATTGCTTCTCGAATTGCTGCAGCATGCAAACATGATTCATGCATGGTGAGGCTAATATATATCTACACTAGCTTCGCTAGATATTGCTTCTCGAATTGCTGCTGCATGCAAACATGATTCATGCATGGTGAGGCTAATATATATCTACACTAGCTTCACTAGATTGTGCTCATTATTCTCAGAAAAAGTAGCTTACCCTTTTGTTCTTATCTATGTTTCTAAATGTAAAAGAATTATAAGATCATTAGTACCTGCCACACTGGATAATATCCTCTTCTTTCATTAGCATAGAGAAAGAATTCTGTCCCATTTCCCTCAGGCCAAAACTTGTAAGGAAATTTGAGAAAGATCTTGGTGTATACCGCCATATCGAACTGGTACATTGCAAGGATCTTCCATTGCTATATTTCAGAAGATGATGTTGAAAGTCATATATTATCCCAAAACAAACAATGATAACTAAAACATTTAGCTTCTATAAACTCCAAGAAAGGAAAATTGCAAACATATTATTATGTACAGTATCCAAAAAAACTTACAGGCAAGTCTGGCTCAAACTTGATGAGTTTGGTTTGAAGAACACCAATGCTAACTGAAACAATTACATAATCTGCTTTGTAAACTGATCCATCCTCTGTGACAACAACTACACCACTTTGAAAGTGTCGTATACGTCTCACTACCTGTAATTGTTAAGCAAATAGAATTTTGTAAGACATAAATATTTTATAATAATAAAATCTAACTTCTATTGTGAAAATTTTGAAAAAGAAATCCTAATTTACTTTTTTTTTTTTGCTTAGTGTCTCTTGTTTCTTACTTTCCGAGGATATTTTTTACCACATATAACAAAAATATTTTTTTAATTATCTCTTCCTTCCAATGGAATTGCTTAAAGTCGTGATTCAAGACCAGTTCAAAATAATACTATACCTTATAATTTAATAAAAATATATTACAAAATAGATAGTTTTATTAAAATTTAAAATAATTATATAAAATAATTTAATAATACATATGAAAAAATGGTAAATGCATATAGTCAATAAAATAAAATGAGGAACCATATGAGTGACTACAATAAAAAAATAATACTAACTGTATATTTAAAACAATTTTAATAAATATTCTAAATGTTAATAAAAAATATAAAATTGTAATATTATCTAATTATCATATACACCATAATAAAGATTTGCATCTTATAATATCAATTAAATTTTTAGTTAGGCTTTCACTTTTAGTAATTTAACATGATTTTAATTAAAATATATCAAAATTAATAAAGATATGATAACAATCAAATTATTTGTAATGTTTCTAAAATATTAACCTAAGAAATCTTTATAAACAGCTAAAGTTATGTTGTTCTTAACATAATGTTATGCTATTTTGTCATAATTTTTTAAAATATACAACTCTATTTTAAAATATATAGTGTCGCGAGTATTCTTAAACTCCAAATATCAACCACTCTTATATATAACTTTTCTAAATGTCCTGCAGGCTACTTCTTTGTCAGCTTATTCTCCTAGTTTCCTGCTGCTCTCTTACGGCATATTCTCTTGGTTTTATGATATCAATGTTTAATATATGACTATATATATATATATATATATATATATATATATATATATATATA